GCTCCAGGAGACCTTTTCTAAACCATGTCCCTCTGCCAAACAGAGGGTGGAAATTTAACCAGGCTATATGCTACTTAGACACGAGTCCTTTGGTGTGCAGTTAAGTGGTACAAACCTGTAATAGTAGTTACTCAAGAGGCTGAGACAAAAGGATTCTAAGATCAAGGCCTTCCTGAACAACAAAGTGAGTTCAAGGCCAGCCTAGGCAACTTATCAAGACACTGTCTCACAATTAAAACAAAAAAATTTGGGGAATAGGGGCTGGAGAGATGGCTCAGTAGTTAAGAACACTAACTGCTCTTCCAGAGGATCCAAGTTCAATTCCCAGCCCTACAAAGTAACTCACAACCACCAGTAAGTCCAGTTCCAGGAATTCAACACCCTCTTTTGACACTATATGGATGAGGTATACAGACTTACAAACAGGCAAAACACCCATACACATAAAATTAAAATTTTTTAATGTTTAAAAAATATTTGAAGACTGGAGACACAGCTCAGTACAGTTCAACAGCAAAAGCACTTGCTTAGTATTCATGAAAGCCTGGGTCCAATCAACAACATGGAGGGTGGCTTTGGGATTAAAGAGAATTAATCCTTAGGGTGAAGCCCCCTTGGTTAAATCTGGTGACCTTTTAAGAGAAAAGCTGGGGAGACGGCTCAGCAGTTGGGAGCACTTACTGCTCTTGCACAGAACCCAGGTTCATTTCCCAGTGGCCACAGTTCCAGAGAATTCAATTCCCTTCTGATATCCTCCAGCTCTCATGCACATATGCGGTACACATACATACACTGAGGTACATATACATAAACATAAAATATTTTTTTAAAAAAGCTGAGTGTGGCCCATGGGTTTAATCCCAGCACTCAGGAAGCAGAAACAAGAGGATGTCTGAGTTTGAGGCCAGCCTCTTCTTCAGAGCAAGTTCTAGGACAGCAAAGGCTACACAGAGAAACCTTGTCTTGAAAAATTAATAATAATAATAACAATAATAATAAAGTACATGTGTGCATATGTACAGTTACATACACTACACACACAATAACAGCCTGCTCCTGTCTCTTGCCATGTAACACCCTGTGCTAGCTCATGACTCAATAAACTTCTTCATAAAGTAGCCTGACTCAGCCATTTTGTTACAGTAACAAACGATACAAGAAACACCAGTTACCTCTTTTTTAACACTATCTGAGCTGGAGTTCCTTTCAAGTGATAAATATATGTAGGTCCATCTCGTCCCAGGACACCCTAAGTCCCAGGCTCCTCACCATCTCTCCTCTTCACTGAGGGCAGTGCCTACAAATGACCAGCAAGAAGCAGTAGAAAGAAAACAGGTCTGCAGTAGCCTCCTGCCCGGACTTCACTGTCCCAGGAGCTGAGGACCCAGGAAACTCTCCAAGTGCTTCTCCACAGAAGAAAATAGCTCGAGTTGAAACTTGCGTCCACATGGTCCACCGACAGATTTAGAACTCAAATTATAGCCTCGGCAAGGAGTCTTCACAAAGGACTCAAATTAAGCAAGACCCGAAGGGATATGAACAGGGAGAGACTGCATTAAGTCAAACTAGAAAGAGAAGTACAGGTTGAGCTGAGTTAGTGGTATATAACTTGTTGAAATGCTAAGCCAAGGGGCTCACCCCCTTCAGTGCTCTGCTCAGGCCAGCTCTCTGGGTTCCCAGCCTGAAAGCAGCCTGTGGCCTCAAAGCAGAACTTACTCAGATTTCAAGCTGAGTTCATTTCTGTCCTGTGGACCATCTCTCAATGCCAGCATTCATCTCCTTAGGCTCCTGAGAGCTCTACCTTTAGCAAAGCAGATAAAATTAGCTACTGCAGTAAACTTGGAATCCAGGGTGGGCCACTAAAAAAGTACACAGGAGATTTGTAAACACCATGGAAAACCTTCCTTTGAGCCAGGCCAAAGTCACCTAAAACTTACAGAAATGTAGTGAAGTCCTCTGTCCCTTGCCCCCTTTGCACCTTCTCCAGATCTCGGATGACCCATTTCCTGCTTTTGTCCTTTCATACCAAGGCCACAACCTGGGTCTCCTCTTTTGATCACGGGGTGAATCAGAAGGCTCAAGGCAGCAGGAAGCCCTGAGAGAGCAAAGGAGCCCTTTCTCCTCTTTTCTCAGGAAGGGAAGGTCCTCTCTGCAGAAAGGACCGAGGGTCACGGCAGGAAGTGGGTTCCTTCCATAGGCTTGACCTTGTGATAATAGGGAGACATTGTTTCTGTCTTGTCTCTCAGTGCCCACAGTCTTCTGACACTGGCCTAGGGGGTCAGGAAAATTAATAACCAGAGCAGCATGTGGTGCTGCACACCTGTGATCCCAGCATCCAAGAGGCTGAGGCAGGAGGACTGGCAAAAGTTTGAGGTCAGAAAAAACCCTGTCTCAAGACAAAGAAAGTTGGGCACAGCAGCCCATGACTTTAATCTCAGTGTTTGAAAGTCAGAGGCAGGCAGATCTCTGAGTTCCAGGCCAGCCAAGAAGACATAATAGAGACCTTGTCTCAAAAAAAAAAAAAAAAAAAAAAAAAAAAACCACCCTCAAGTTGCAGGACTTAGGAAACCATGGGGGATTGTTTATTTGTGTTTTTATATTTCTTTGCATATAGGTCCCCTAACTTTCCCTCTAGTCACAAAAGTCTCAGTCCTCTGAAAACTGAGATAAAAGTCATGAAAAAGTCCAACACTCTGGAAAGCCTAAGCAATCTGATTCAAGGACAGCATAGGCTACATACATGGGGAGTCAAGGGGCAGCCTGGGCTACACTTTTTAGACTCTATCTAAAAAGTAAAGCACAATGATGACTGAGAAACCCAAGGACTGGCAAGAAAGAAAACTAATTGTTTCGTTTTCTAAGTCTTTCTTAGTCATTTCTAAGTCTTTCCCTTCACAATCGAGACTTGGGTAGCTCCAAGGTTAAACGATAAGTCTTTCTCACAGAGGTTAAGAAAGGAAATCTCAAGAAGGGAAAAAATCTCAAGCAAGCAGGTAGGGAACTGCTATGCTGCAGGATCCCTCAGGAAAATGAGAAATCCATTGTGTCTCTTATAAGGAAAAGGGATCATAGCCAAAGTGGAACAAAGGCCAGGCACAGTGGCTCATATCTATAATGCCATCATTCATGAGGCTGAGGCAGGAAGATGACCATGAATTTGTGATTACCATGGGTGCAGAGTGAGTTCCAGACCAGCCTGTGTAAAGAAAGAAGGGCCAAGTGGTGGTGGAACACGCCTTTAATCTTAATCCTCCAGAGGCAGAGGCAGGCAATCTCTGAGTTTGAGGCCAGCCTGGTCTACAGAGTGAGTTCCAGCACAGCCAGGGCTACACAGAGAAACCCTGTCTCAAACAACCCCCCCCAAAAAAAAAGCAAAGAGGGGAGGGAGGGAGACACAGAGATCACCCAGAAAAATGAGAAAAAGAGTATGCCTGAATGGTGGCATATAATCCCAGGACTTGCTTAATAGGCTGAGACTGGAAAAATCTTCTATTTATTGATTTATTTTTTAGGTTTTTTGTTTTTTTTTTTTTTTGAGTCAGAGTTTCTTTGTGTAGCCCTAGCTGTCCCAGAACTAGCTCTATAGACCAGCCTGGTCTCAAACTCAGAGAACTGCCTGCTTCTGCATTCTGAGTGCTGGGATTAAAGGCATGTGCCACCATGCACGGCTGCAAAATCTTAATTCAATGACAACCTAAGCTATAATGCAACAAGACTGAGTCTCAAAAAAAAAAAAAAAAAAAAAACTTAAAAATGTGGAGAGGCCAGGCATGATGACACCAGCCTTTAATTCTAGCTCACAAGGGTCTCTGCAGGCAAATCTCTATAGGTTCAAGGCTACCAATGAGAGCTACATGGTGAGACCACCCCATCCCCCCAAAAAAAGAGGGTATCCAAAAAATAAAGAGGGCTTGCAAAACAATTAGGGACAGTTCAGACGGTGGGGAAAACCTCCAAGGAGCACTTCAGATCATTTGGTGAAACTTGGAAAAAGAAAGAAGTCGCTCAAAGTAGGGATGGAAAAGCAGGGAGGAAATTTCAGAGAGGGGATCTGTCAAAAAATGGGACACAGGCCCGGCGTGGTGGCGCATGACTTTAATCCCAGCACTCCGGAGGCAGAGGCAGGTGGATCTTTGTTCCAGGCCAGCCTGGGCTACACAGCGAGTTCCAGGACAGCCAGGGCTATCATATAGAGAAACAAACAAGACAGGACAACAGCTCAGAGAAACAACGACCTCCCCAGAAAATTGTGGGAGGGGTTCGCCGAGAGGCAGAGTGATCTCAGAAACATCCTCCACAGACGAAGGTCCTCAGAAAGAACGCCTAAGTGTCTCCCAAGGGAAGTGGAACCTTCCTGAGGGAGGCCAGGAATCCCAGAAAGGAAGGGAGGGGGCGCTCATCAGACAAAAAGCCACTTTTTACACAAGCTGGGGACTGAGGCCAGAGACGCTGAAAAAGCAGGGAGTTCCTCAGAGAATGGGTGTCGCAGAGATCAGGACTCGGAGATGGGGGCTCCCCTCGGGAACCCAAAGGTCTCAGAGAGACTCCCTGAGAAACCTGAGTTCACGGAAACAGGGCTCTCCCTCCCTCACAGGCGGGGTTCACGGGGGGAACGAGGACCCTCCCGTTAGAGCCTCAGAAAAGTTGAGTTTACAAGGCGGTGCTCTCCTCGGAGGCGCACAGGACCCCCTTTCGGGGTGCCCTCGGGAAAGCTCGGGCTCTCCAGAGAGGGGCCTCGGTAGGCGAGGTCCCAGGGAGAAAGGGCACCTTCAGACACCAAGTTCCCCAAAAGCGGGGTGTCCCCAAACGGGGACCCCGAAAAGGGCCCTGAGACACGCGGGGCCCCTACCGAGGAGGAGTCCTCAGCGACGGGGGGCCTTCGGATGCAGTCCCCTAAAGAGTCCGGTAAGGAAACGCACCAGCCCGGCCAAGCGGAAGCCAGGGGAGCCCGGGGCACCGGAAGCCGGGGACCCCGGCAGCGGCGCCGGCCCCGCACTCACCGAAGTTGCTGGGCTCCGCCGGATGGGCAGCTGGGCCCCGGGCCGGCCTCGGGCAGAACGCTCAGGTCCGGTCCGGTCGCGTCCCCCGGCGACGGCTCCCTCGGGTGGCGCCTGAGGCGGCTGCGGAGACAGGACGACGGACGACCGACCGACCGACTGCGCGGGCGGCGCGGGGCGCGCTCAGGCAGCCAGGGTGCGCGTGCGCGAGCCGGGGCGCTGACCCCGGGCGGAAGGAGCTGCTTCGGCGCGCTCGGAGCCGCGACTCGGTCTCGCCGCTCCTTCTCACACTGAAATTGCCCGCTTCACAGCCCGGCTTCCCCGGTTGCTAGGCAGATTTCGCCTCTCACACTTCCGGGTTGAAGCACGTCTCTCCGAGTGGCGGCGCCGCAGGCCAATGAAGTCTGGCCGGGGCGCTCTGGATCCGCACCCCACGGAGGGTGTGGCCAGCCTCAGGACAGACAGTTCCCAGCAGCCAATGAGCGCGTTGGCCGGCTGGCCCGCAGGATTGCGCCGGTGGCTGGGGCGGGCCCGAGGGGGCGGGGCAGAGTGACTGACAGACCATCCTCCAATGGGAGAATGGAGCGGGTAGCGGGGCCAGTCAAGTCGCCATGAGGGTGGGATTTAGGTCTGGGGCGGGAATGCCGTGAGGGGTGCGGCCGCGGAGGACACGTCAAGTCGTGGCCGGCTTGCTCGGACTCCGGAGGGCGGTTCGACCGGACCGCCCGGCGGCCGGCAACTGCCTGAGCGGAGGGTTCCCCCGCAGTGCGCAGCAGGGGCGCCCCACCCACAATGCACTGGAGGCTGCCGGGCCTGGACTGGCGCCTCTGAGCGGACCTCGGGCGGCTGGTTGCTCGGCTTGGTTCCTGTGGGCGTCGGGGACGCCGCCACCTTTGAAGAGTCTCTGGGCGACCCCACCCCCATCCCTGCCGCCCATTCGGAAGAGAATCTTGAGGTTCGCGTCGCTGGTGCCGTTCTGAGGACGCTGTCGGCGAGCTCGGCCTTCCCGCCGGCTTTTCTGGGAATGCCTGAACGAGGATACTCCGGGAGATTCGCATCACTGAATCTCCTGAACGCTGCTGCGATGTGGGCATTATCTGAATGGAAGCCCCACCCCAATCCCTGTAGATCACATGCTGCCATCGCAAGGGGAGAGATGTGGTACTGGAGCAGCCCTGCGTTCCCCCTCACCCCTTCTCAAGCTGTGCTCTTGTAACTCATTTTCCCCCTCTGAGACGGGGCCTCAGTGTGTAGCCCCAGCTGGCCTGGAACTCACCTGCCTTTCTCTGCCTTCGTGAATTCTTTCGGTTTTATTTTGTTGGGGGGAGGGGGCTTTTTAAGCGTTTATTCTATTTGTTGTAGATAAATTATTGTCAGTGTGTATGCCATGACAAGCATGTTAAAGTCAGAGAACAAGATGAAAGAGCTGGGCCTCTCGTTCCTCTTATGTGGGTCCCAGAGATCGAACTCAGGGCCTCAGGCTTGGTGGCAAGAACCTTTACACTTTGAACCATCTAGTCCACCCTGATTGTTTTTGAGACAGGATCTTACTGTGTACCCCTAGCTGCCCTGGACATCTATGTAGAGCAGGCTGTCCTCAAACTTAAGAGATCCTCCTTCCTCTGCCTCACAAGTGCTCTGATTCAAGGCATGTGCCACCAAGCCCGCAGGATGTGTTTTGATACGCTCTCCTGTATCCGAGGCTAGCCACAAATTTGTTCCTGTGTGGCTTAGAATGATCTTGAATTCTACTACCCCTGCTTAACTCTTCTGGTCTCCTGCATCTCCACAATTTCTCCTCTAGATAGAAACATTCCAAGAACTTTTCTGTTTCCCAACCACTTCCAGATAAAACTAACATGTCACCCAAAATGTCAGCATATCATCAGGCTGACAGTAGCCAAAAGGCTTCAACTGTCTTCCACCATTTTTTTAAAGTATTTATTTTATGTGAATGGATATGCTTTGTCTGCTTATCTGCATCAAGTACAGTGTCCCCCAGGAGCCAGAAGAGGGCATCAGATCCCCTGGGACTTGAGTCAGACAATTATGAGCTGCCATGTGGGTTCTAGGAATCGAACCTGGGCTGGAAGAGCAGCCAAGTGCTCTTAACATCTGAGCCATTATCCCAGCCCTACCGTCTCCTTTTTAGACAGGATCTCATGTAGCCCAGATTGGCCTTAACTGTGAATTGTAACCAAGAAAGACCTTGAACTCCTGATCCTCGGCTTCCACCTCCTAAATATGTCAAGCATGTGCCACCACACCCAGTTTATGCAATGCTATGCTAATCAAGTCCTTACTAATGGAGTTTCAACCCCAGCCCCTTCTATTATTTTCTTTGGCAGGGTCTCTTGTTGCCCAGGCTGGCATTAAACTCCTAATCTTTCTACCCCTATCTCTCCTGTGCCAAAATGACAGGAATGAACTACTATGCCTGACCCTCAGTTCATTCCAAAGTTCTTGCCTTATTTACAGCTGTTCCCCAACGGACCCAACTTTGCCTAAACAGGTAACCAAATAGCCTATTGAGTCAAATAATGAAGAAGGGTAGTGATGAGAAAGACCCCCCAACTCGGAAGATGCAAATGGTGAGCTGTGATTGCTCAGTACACAGTCACATCTAGGGACACAGATTACCAAAGGGAACTTGTTGCTGGAGGGACTTTAAGAGCCAGGAAGAATGCAGTAAAGGGAAACAGGCCTGTTACACCAGACAGAATGTTACACTGAAGAGACACAAAGAAATTGCCGTACTAATGTAAAGGAGGAAGCCATCAAATAAGATAATGGATGAGAACTAGAATGAACTCAAGAACTCTGAGTTTGTAAACCTGGAAGGCCTGTGCTTACAAGTAAGCTAAAATTTTGAAAGGAAAGTTCAGAGAGTAACAGGGACGGGGGAACCATGACTCCTTGAGTGAGCTCAACCTCAACCTGGCCCCAAGTGAAAGGCTGACACACAGTCACCAGCTAAGGAAGGAAGCCACGGTCAACATGAAGACCTGTTCCCCGCACCTTGTTGGCACTCTGCTTCAGAACCACCACATTCTGCAAACGTTTGAGGCAATCAGAGTAAACAATAAACGCTTGGACCTGGTGGCTCCAGACCTGGGGACGAACCCATGTGTGCCACTTCCTAAAAAGGCCAGTCATTGCCCTCACTATGTAAGAAGTCAGAACCCGGAACCAGGCCTAACAGTGCACATCCTAGCACTGGGGAGGCTGAGGCAGCAGCATCTCAAGTTCTAGGCCATCCTGGGTTACAGAGCAAGACCCTCCCTCAAACAAACAAAACCAGAAACCTTCTCAAAGGCTTGCGTTGAGGATGTGAGTCAAAGCGCCTTGTACTGTGCCTGGTGCTCAGTAGGACACAAAAGCTACTTTAATTCCTGTCACTAATTGGGAAGCTTTGCAAGGACAAGAATCGGCCTATTTAAGTGATCCCTTGGTACTTTTGCACATAACTCTTCTTGTTTTTCTGAGGCAGGGTCTTGCTGTGTAGCCTAGGCTAGCTTAGAACTTATTATGTAGCCCACGATGACCTAAGAATAGCCTCTTGCCTCAGTTTCACAAATGCTGAGTGTGCTGGGTGTGCAGGCAGAGCATTCACACACAATAAATTTTAGATCTCAAATTCAGCACATACTCAAAGGTGAGAAAACACTGAGGTCTCACAGAAAGCAAGCAAGAATTAAAAATTGGTGCTGGAGCTGGACAGTGGTGGCGCACGCCTTTAATCCCAGCACTCGGGAGGCAGAGGCAGGCGGATCTCTGAGTTCAAGGCCAGACTGGGCTACAGAGTGAGTTCCAGAACAGCCAAGGCCCTGTTTTGAATAACAAAACAAAAATATTGGTGCAGGAGAGATCCCTCCGTGGTTTAGATCAGTTGTTATTCTTGCAGAAGACCCAGGTTTGGTTCCCAGCATCCACCAGGCAACAAATGTGGTACACATAAAAACATGCAGGCAAAACACGTGAAATAAAAACAAGTGTTACAAATTGATAAGCAGTGCTCTAGTTACTGTCCAGCCAGCTCACTGCACCCTCGTGCAGTGTTCTCAGTAAACCACTCCTGAGACCAGCCAGATGACTCAGGACGTGCGGGCGCTTGCTGCCAAGCTTGACAACCTCATTTGGTCCCCTGCCCTGAGACCCATGTAGTGGAAGGACAGAAACAACTCCCACAAGTTGTTCACCAACCTCCATGCACATGTGCTCTGTGACACACATGTGCCTACACACAAAATAAACTATGCCTTTACTGGTAAAATAAATAACCCAAAATGTCCTGAGCCCTAGACTGGAAACAGCTCCGTTGGTAGAGGGCTTGCCTAGCATGTGGAGTGTCCTGGGTTCCATTCCCAACACCACATAAACTAGGCATGGTGGTGCACAGCTGTCATCCCAGAATTTAGGAAGTAGACAGGAGAATCAGATGTCTGAAGTCATCCTCATCTTCAAGGACAGCCTGGACTAAGGAAAAAAAAATCCCTAAACTTTTTCTTTCTCTGGAGTGAACTCTCTTTGAAGAGAGACTCTGGGTAGATGTCCTAATGAAATTCCTGAACTTCAGAGCCAAGGGCAGGTGGCAGCTTGCCCAGGACCCAAACCACCCAAAATACTTCTGTCAAAATGAGCTGGCAAGACTGGCATGGTGGTACACAACTGTCATTCCCCAACACTAGGGAGGCTGAGATAGGATCTCGGTGAGTTCAAAACCACCATGGGCTACATAGATAGACCTGGCGTGTTTGTTTTAAATAAAAACTAAAGCACGAGCCACTTGATGGTTGGTTACTGAAGTTCGATTTCCCTTTCCCTGGTGGCAGCTGCGATTGCATCTCCTCACCAAGGCGTGGCCCTTCCTGGGTCTGGGAAACCAAGTTGACGAACAGGCTGAGTGACATTCACACCCATATAGGGAAGTGGGAGCTGGCCCAGGCGGCCCCACAGGCGTCGGGAAGGCGGGGCCTCTGGCAACCGAAGACCTGCTGCTGGTCTCCTAGGAAGTCGCGCACAGAGGAAGCGGTTCCACCAGCACTGAAGAACGACGGATGAGTAGTAACGCTGCTGAAGACAGACAGCGAGAAGGTTACAGACGCCAGGGCACAGGCCTGTGTCAGCACACAGGAGGCTGAGGCAGGAAGGACCCTGACCCTCTTTTGAGAAACGGCACAAACGTTGGGTGTGGTGTGCCTCAAGCCTGTAATCCCAGCACTTCAGATACTAAAATGAGAGGCTCCCTGTGAGTTTGAGGATAGGTTCCCTGTGAGTTTGAGGATAGGTTCTCTGTGAGTTTGAGGAGAGGCTGGCTGTGAGTTTGAGGATAGGTTCTCTGTGAGTTTGAGGA